ACCTTCCCAGTTTAATCACTAGCGTTACTTATTTTTAGTATTTGATATAAAAATTTCTGTCCCTTTAAATTTTTTTTCTCACTTCCCATATCTGGAAAGAAACTAATATTAAAACATCAGTCACATTCTTTTATTTCTTTGTGCATTTTTTAATTTAGTTATTAAAGTTTTATAAGAAGATGGCCTCTTGTGACTGGTATGGGTCCTTCCTATGATTACTCCTAACATGTTTGACAACCAAACTTTTGCTATTATTGAAATGGTATGTGCCTTATCTTCCTGTCAGATAGCACATCGCAGCCTGTATTTCTGCATGTTATGTTAATTTTCCTCTGTATTTCAGGTGCTGATGTTTTTTAATGCAATAACTTTATTCTGTTAAAAATAAAAAAGAAAAAAGGACTACACAAATATGGATAAGGTCGGTAGCCTCCTCCTATTTTTATTCATATCTGGGATATTTAATTTGTGGAAACCTCCACTCATTTTGGCTGAGTTCTACCACAGAAATCCTGACAGGAAAAAAAAAAAAAAAAAGGAAACTAGACTTAGGCTGTATGTTCACACATGTATGTGGCCATGTGTGCCACAACAGGCAAGCCTGTATACTAGTTTGTTCAGGTTATGCGACAAAATGGTATGTGATAATATGATCCAAATTTGTTTCTTCAACATCAACATAGTATTGATGAGTTTTTCAGTTGCGATAGGATTTTTTAAAAAATCTTAACTGCTACAATGCAGTCCTTTTATCTGGTGCTCATCACTATACAGTGAGATTCTTCAGTGTTCATGACACAAAGGCTCTTCTCTCCCTCAGAATTCATTTTAGATGAAGCCATTAGATCTCACAGTTGCAGTTTAATGTGGGGATTTTAGGTCATCTCAGAACTTACCCTTTTCCAAGAACAGTTTTAATCTTTGTATAGTACTTGAATATACTTCTTATAATTATGTTTCAAGTGTTATTGCAGCTATATTTCAGATTTTACGTATGTAAGAAAATGCTATATTATTTTAATACTGACAGTAGAGTAAAAATCTATTCAATATTCACCTTTCAGGAAGCACAATCAAATATCCAAGAACACTATTAGACTTGCCTAGCATAAAGTTTCAAACTGCTAATGGGTTTTAAATTGATGTCATAATGCTGCAATTTAAAGACATGATGTTCATTAATTTTGCCAGAACTCTTTGTAGAGTAGGAGTGGTATGAAAGAAGGAGGAAGGTTATATTTTCTATACCTGCTTCTTTTTATCTGCTTGCCTATTTTTGATACACAAGAAGAATCATTACATCAGCTTGGGGTGAGGGGTGAAGCTCACTCAAATGACAATAGATTTCCATTAGGTAACCACCATAGAGTTGTATCACTGTAATATTTTCTATGAAAAAATACCAGGAATAGCATAGAAGTAACTAACAAATGTTAGGCATGACATTTCTTAAAGATGGATTTCATGGGACCCATCACCAAAAATCCATAACAAAGTGGAGGAAACAAGGGACAGAAAGGTCATCTTGCTCATACACCTCCTTTTCACTGAAAGGTCAAAATTCATGTACTTGAGCAAGAGAGCAATACTGCAAAACAGGCAGCCATAGTCTCTCACAAATCTCAGGGAATTCCCTCAGACGTGGACATTGAAAAGGGAAAAGAGATCACATTGTGGAGGACTGCTAAGGGATCCTCTTCTTTTGAGGGGGGAGAGGGTGGGCACTGGATACAAATTTTCTAGGTGAAGAATCATCTGTTTCAGAAATATTTCAAAAATCAAACTAAAATGTGTCTAGAGCTAATGGACCAGTATAGAACAACACATCTATTTATATTTTAAATATAGTATGTTTACTGTACATAAAGTCAGTTTTTCCAAAATTGTTGCTATAGCTACAAATCAAGGAAACCATAGCAACAACCCTGTATTAGGTACAGCATTAATTAGGGGTTAAGTTATGTCTCTCTTTGCATTTTATATTAAATATTCCCATACCATCTAGTTACAGTAATTTTTTTTTTCAGATTTTTTAATACTAAAAATTCCATAGTATTATACACCCTTGAAATATGTCTTTATGGCATTATTCTGATCATGCCTAATAACATACATGTCAATATTCTTTACTTGAGATAAACACAGATATGTGTATCACCATATTTCCTGATCTTCTTTAATAAAAATCATTGATCACTTCAGCCTTTAACCATCAAGTAATTAATTTTCCATCATCTCATAAGGTTTTCAAGACACATGCCACTCAGCCTTACCCCAAAAGAAATCAGCTTCTTCCTAAATTCAACCTTTTTTCCTATGGATTAAAGTCTTGGGTTGTTTTTTCCTTTTTCCCCAGAAAGTAAGTATCAAGGGAGGGACAGGAAACGCAGAGTAGCAGTTCATCTAGATTTTCTGGCTTCCCTCTCATGTCAAATGACTGACTGAGTTGGTGGTAAGTTACTCTAATCACTCTGTTTTGTTGACCTTATATATGCACTATTTAAGTACACTAAGAATTTGCAATTAGAGAGCCCTAGCATGCTGCACGCAGCCAGGCCTCAGAGTGGAGCCTAGGAGGAACAGGTAAAGGAGAACAGAGAACAAATGTGATGAAAGGAGGAGAAGGATGTTGGAAGTGGCTGAGGAACAGGAGGGAGTGCTATCGGACAGCAGGAGAATGTAGGACCCAGTGGGGTGACAGGCTTCAAAGGGCACCCTAGAAGACTGAACACATTCAACAGGTGTACAAAGACTCTCTCAACAAAAGAGCAAAGAGAAGGTAAAAATTAATGTCTTTAAAAGTCTTCTCACCTGTCTTCCCTTCTATCACACAATTTTCTGATAATTCATTATGGTATAGTTTCCTCACCTTTTGGTCCTTGCCCACTGATGTGATGGCATATGTCCCATTTTGCAAAAACCTTGGCCACATTTGTTTAGCTGCACTCACAGACTGAACCTTCTACTTATCTCACATACTATTGCAGCATAAAAAAATAGAAAATAATATCTTAATTCCATTAAATGAGCAGAAATTCAGTGTATTTGGCACTCGTACAAAAATGAGAGATCTGTGGTTTTAATCTCTGAACAATTGAGAATCGCTGGCCATTTTAATATAAATAATATATATATGCTTATTTTATAAAGTAATTTGTGTTATAAAAACTGTAGTCTGAGAAAGCTATGAGTGTGAGTTAGGAAAATAATCTGTGCAAAAGCTTTTCACATGGGCAGCACAATAATATTTCCCTCTCACAGGGAATAATTAAGTCAGAAGATAGTGCATTCACAATTAGCAAGGCATATTCAGTTTCTTCATTAACATTTTAATTAGCAAATATTAATGTAATCTACAAATACAAGGGGGAAAACAATTAAAATTACTACATTTAAGGAGTCCTTCATGACCTAAGATAAATTGAGACAAATGCCTTACTAATCGATACTGGTCACCAACTTTCAGGACGTTCATTTCCATTTACTGTTAGAACTTCCAAGTGTGTTACCAAATTTAAGAAGGAATTAAGGCTCCCACAAGCTACATCTAACCTCTGATGAAGGCAGTGGTGAGTAAAAATGGATTAGTATGCTCCTCTCCAGTTATCAGTTCAGACTGATAGTGATCAAGTGACTATGGCAGGTCTACCTCATTCAGATTCCATCCCTGCCACAGTGTCAGTAACCCAGGGCCATGCAGAACACACTGCCCTCTCATTTTTAGTGGGTTCCTGGTCCCCTGTATTTAAGATATGCTGGACAGAGCCTTAGCCCTTTTGAACTCTACTAGGGACTTTTTTACTGGGACTAGGATTTACACCCCGACTCAACAGATTTCCTTTCAGGTGCTTGTCCTTTTTCTGCTCTGTAGATAATGTACTTTGGCCTCCGATATACTCAGTGCTGCATCTTACATGGACAACACTTAAAAGCTACCAAAATTTAAAAGAAGCTGCCCCCTAAAAAATATAACCTTCTCTCATTATGATTTTCATATTCAACACACAAACAGTAAAATAATTAACTAACTTGTCCAATATATCTATAGAACTGAATATCGTGAAGTGGTAAAATATTTTCATTTTCTACTAAAGCTGTTATGTGAATGAATTTCATTAATTAATATAATAATTGCAATTTTATAAAGAAAAATAAGTAGCAGTAAGTGAAAGTCTGACAGTATTTCTCATGACTGACAGTGCTATAACTGCTCAAAAACAACTTTTAGAATGAGCTTATTTTTTTATGTTAGCTTATTTTGCAAGCTTGTACTATATAAATAGTGCAGAGAGAGAGAGCGGAATAGTCTGGGGGAAAAGCACCACTACCACCAAAACCAAACAATGTCATTAGATATTTTGCCAGCTAAGAGAGTCTAAAGTAGGAGTCCCTGTAAAATCTAATTTCATCGCACAGAATGTATTTTGCAAAGCAGATAAAGGCATTTTAAAATACAGACTGAAAATACATACCTGTCTTTCAAATAGCTACTAAGTGTTAATGTGATAGTTTCAGAAAAATCCAGTAAAACTCTACCTTTAGAAATTTTCTACACTCACATATGTTAATTTCACAAATCATTCCCTTTTTCTCTTCCATGCATATACAAACACAAATAAACTACTTCCTTCAATATCCCAGTCAAAATTAAATGTTTTTAGGACTTTACTACAAACACACACAAGAACATTTCCTTTTAAGTCAAAAGGACTGAAGTCCTTGAAATTAATCTGAAAAATTCTCTCACTTGTATAGATACCAGTTTTCACTGCAACCAAGCATGATTTTGAGGTCTGTTCTCTCCACTGCAGTCATGACAGAAATTTTAAAAATTCAGTGGTCATTTACATGGTAGCACACTTATAAAAAAGGCACTTTGCTCAGAAACATTACTTGCTTTAGTTTTTACATTGGGCAGGTTGGTAGAAAAACAATTACGTGGTTCAGAGAAAGAGAAGTCTACTGGTCCATTTTTCTGTGCTCTTGATAACACATCTTACCTCTTGTGTTTTCACATTTATATACCCATAATGAGTTCTCAGAGGCTGCCTTTGGCCATTAGAAAATGGTATCCATTTGACACTGTGTTGTCCAAAGCAGTTTAGGATCAAAGGGAATGTTACTTCATTTGTGAGACGAACGATGATCAGACAGACGAATGCTGCAATGAAACTCACAGCAACGATGGACTTCCTCTGTAATGAAAAGAAGAAAGAAAACCAATTATTAAAATTAAGAATTGTTTTTTTTAAAAAAATGTATCTTCTATTGTAGGATGAAGGAAAAACACTTTAGAAAGCTTTATGTGAAATTATTTTTATGGTAGTCATCTTGCTGCAGGAGCACAAGGAGGCAGGTGAATGTATCATTTTGTTTCAATAAATTTACATTTCAGAGGATTTGAGAGTTTCCTTTAGAAATGGTTGGAAATTAATCAGTTTTGCTAAAAAAAAAAAATCGGCTTTTTTTTTTAAGTTTCAAAAAGCATCTCTCAGTTTTAAATTTTATTAGTATTTGGAATTAATATTTTATGTAAACATAAAATGTTTAATGTATGTAAATACCAGTCTCCATTCAAAATCACCAGTGCTCTAGTCACATGACAAAGACACATTGTGGCAATGCCATCTGAAGTCATGCCACCCAAAGTTTATTGTGAAGAAGAAAATCACTACAGATTGTATTTATTGTGCATTAATTTTAAACCATTCTCATGAGACAGAAATCATACTCTAACCTTAAATATTTTAGAACAAATTGTCGATGAAGTCAGCACAACATTCTGCCTTATTCTAGGTTCATGAATTTACACTTTGTAAATTATTATTATCTTGGCATTATTATCTCGAACAAGATAACCTCCATTGTTAATAATGTAACAGATCTGAAGCCTGTGTTTAATTAGCCTTTGCTTTCCACCTCTAACCTATCCAGTTTGTTGGACTGGTGAATGTAACCACAGAAAGATATCAACTGTTTACCTGGGTAACTCCCCAGACTGCAGGAGAAAACTTGTAAGAAATATGATGTTCCCCTCATTTTTAGATATTTGTTAAATACTGCAATCAATTACTTCTACACAAATTATGTATGGACAAAACATGTTATTTGGCATATGTAAAGATTCTAGGTATGATACTCTATTGTAAAAGTTATTTTTAAATTTTCCCTGAGGGAATGGAACAATAATCATTTACAGGTGTCTATACTGTACTTTAATTGCAGTCTAGCTTTACCTGATTTGCCATAGTTTAATCACCCTACTGAATGTAATTCTATCCCTCTAAACAGTAATACATACAGAAAATAGAGGGGAAAAAAATTATTTCCCTAAGGGCCAACATAAGTATACAGTAACACTTCATGCTGGATGCTAGAATCTGATCAGCCCAATTCCTGTCTACAAATACCACCAAATAACATGACCCAGCAGAGTACACATTTAAGACCACTTTTGTAAATGATGGAAATAAGATCACACATTCTGCAATGGTGATGGAGGGGTGAAAGGTGAACTCTGATTGCAACCATATAAGATGAATGTATTCTTTGCTTGAAGGTTCATTTAACAGTCTGCAGAAACTAATATTCAAAATGTTGAGCAGAAGAAACAATACTTACACAGCAAGTATATTGCAAAAGACAAAGTTTTACTGAATGTGAGCACACCAGGCCTATATGCCCATGCACAAGGCCTGTAGGCACTGCTGACATGCTTTGGTACAGTTACTGGACATAGAAAACAGCAAGAATCACAAAGAGCAGACAGCAAATCTGAAGGTATATTACTGTATTCCCACAAACAGTTAACAAAATAGTATGTTATGGAGGTTAACCACATGGCTGTATCAGTTTTGATGTATTAGGAGACTGCAATTTATAGAATAAAAACAACAAAAGATCAAGATGGAAAAATTGGGTGAATGAGGTCACTGTGGGGAGAAAGAGAAGAGGATGATGAAGAGAAGTATCGTGGCAGTGCAATTCAGTGAGGAATCGTAGTCAGCTAATGGCTGTGCAATGTAAAATTAAACCCAGCAAATCTTCAGAGGGCAGCACAACTGCTGCAACCCAATCACAGCTTTCAGAATTCAGGCAAGCCACTGCACTTTTCATCAGCTGCATTATAACAGATTTACATTAAATTGCGATAAACTGGCTGGGGAGCACTTCTGCATCACTTCTCTTTGTACCAGATGGAGTCAGAAATGTTTAGCTATATATCAGGGTCTTGTAAGTGTTAAGAGCAGTCAAGATGTGCAGTGCAAGTGATAATCATAAAGAAATGAGAAGGAGCATGGAATAGTCATATTATTTATTGCTAAATCAGATAAATCAGATGATAAATCAGAATGAAAGTACTGCAAATATTTAAAGTGGAATCTAGAGTCTCATTCTACTACATGAGCATGCTTCAATCAAAATGCCCACAGCAGGAAGCATCAATACTGCCCTGTTTGATGCTACTACCTGATTTCCACATATTCTATCTTCCTGGTTTGCTGAATACCATTTTTTACTCCCTTTATTTTGTGCAGGTATGTTCTGAACATGAAAACATTTCAATCACTTTTGTGTGCTTCTGACAGGGAGCTGTTCTAAAGATCCTCTGCCCCGAGAAGAATTCAGATTGTGTAGCTAGATTTCTTGGCCTTCATTAGGATGCCACCTGATTTTTATACTCCTTTTCTTTAAATGTAATGTACTACAGGAGGAAAGAAAAAAGTGTGGCCTTCTTTTGCTTTCTTATGCAAGAAAATATTGTTTGAAAAAGAAAACAACAAAGATTTTTCTCTGTGTTGCTTAGCCAGAAAGAACCTGTGCTAACTAGAACAATGCAATGAGAGAAAGGAATCTTCACAACAGAAAGGAATTAAGGCATCTGTTATAATCATTTTGGGAAAAAACAAAAAAAAACAAAACAAAACAAAACAAAACAAAACAAACAAACAAAAAAACCCAACAAACTAGCCATATGCAAACACAACGTCCATCTATCAACTTATACAAAGGAAGCTTGTGTTAAGGACTCAGTTCCCCTGTTAAAGGCATGAGATCCAACAATATGCATTCTCTGAAGGAAAGACTACTGCAAATTGGAATTTCAGTGGCTCTATAAATTTCACTGTAAAAATATTAAAAACAACAAAGCACCTACTTATCATAATTTTCCCCTTCTTAAGCATCAAGTAAGGCGGTCTGCTCAGTTAGCAAGAGTGTTTTAAAGGGCACCTCTAAAAGTAATTTATTCCCCTTAAGTTCTTCCCTCCTTTACCTGCTCAAGAAAAAAAATAAATACAGGCACCATTTGTCAGTAAGTGGTTCTTGTAAAATCTCCCTTTCAGCAGATAAATGGATTTTGCTATCTTTAATCTGATAAAACTTAAAATTTAGCATTGGAGACTCTGGAATTCTACATGACATTAAGATATGACAGAGAAGTATGAAACTGTATACAGGGATGAATACCAGACTCTAATTTGTCTCCAAATTTGTCTGCATCAACGTTTTAAATACTTACACATCCTACTGCTGTCTGAAAAGTGGATTTGTCACCTGGTGCACAGTAAGTCAATAATCACACATTCAGGAGAGACATTGCCTATTTATTTTAGGGTTGCACAAACCTAGGTCCTTGGTAGTTTCCCCCAAATCAAGCACACCAACAGGACTTTCCATGCTAGATTTATACACAAAACTTGCAGAGTTAGCAATTTGCCAAGTCCATCCTCTCTACGCTGATTGGTTAATAATTTACATACAATTATAATACTGCTGACACAATACTTCTACGCATGCTCAGGGGAAGGGTCTTCCACTGGGCAAGGGGATTCTTGACTTATAGGCATGATTTTTAGTATTATAATGAGGGTAGTTCAGCTAGGGATACATGGACCTTGAGTTTGCTTGCCAAGTTGGCAATGTACTCACTTCAAGGTCTAATTGATCCAGGATGTTCTTACTCAAAGAAGGCTACCTACTTGTTCTTCTGATTAGGGATGCCTCTGGCTTTAACGTATACAAAGAACAACTTTCTTGACCCATGCATAATATTGCTACATTGTTCTAAAAGTTTAACCTTCAGCACTAGCAGTTGGGAGAGATAAGCCAACATTAATTATCCAGTCTGAATAGAATCAAGTCTTATTCCTTCTTATTTTTTAATTCTCATGAATGCAAATATTTTCTTAACAAAAGAAATGTTTCTCTAATGGGGAAACATCCCCTGTATAAATCTCAACAATCTTTATATTTTTCTGGCTAATTTAATGTAGATATTTGATGTCGCCTACATTTAAGTAAAAAATGTATATTCTGTTATAAACATGTTTTTTGCATCTTCAGTAAGGAGTAAACAATGAGACATATTTTAAACAGTTTCTTAGCTGGATGATTTGCACGGTATATTAGCTCTTGTAACATTTTATTTCATTCACTATAGTAGGTGACTAGTCTGGATGACAGTTGTAAGAAGAAAATTACCATACTTATGAATACAGGATCCTATAGCAGAAGATTGATCGAGTTTACGATTTGTTAATGATATGAAGTCTAAGAGGCTATTCATTCATGGTTTAAAACAGAAAAAGCGGGGGGGAAAAAAAAAGAGGGGGAGAGAAAAGTGGACACACTTCAGATCAGAGTACATGTACTGCAATACCTGGGACCCTACCGGGCAGAAGCCATACACTAGAACTAAACAGTTTCTTCTCAATTCTTTTTACTCAATCCCCACAGTAATATGATTCCGCTTGCAGTTTCAGTTATTTCTCAGACACCAGGTTCTTTCTGTCTATTGTGTATATCAAAATCAATAAGCACTTCCAAGGCTTCAATTTATATTTACATTGTTAAAAAAAAATAATTGAAATAAAACCAGGAGTGTCATACTACTGCGGTGGTTAGGATTTCATTAAAAACTTAATGGATACAAAACAATAACAGCAGTATTTTTATGGCTGTATATATATATATTTGGCAACATGGTCCCTAACACTATTTATAACCTTCATATCATCTGGTTGTGACTATTTACCAGTGCCAGGGTGATTCATTAGCTTCAGTTTGGCAAGATCTTGACAGTCTGAACAAGTTTTAGTCATTTTTCTTTCATAATGTGTTAAGAAGTTTGAGATGACAGTACCATTTCTTAGAGTTCAATAATGCCTGATAGAGTAATAAGACACAAACATTT